TTTATATATAATAACCGCCTTGCTGGAACTGGAGATCACTCCAAAATAACGAAAATAAGATATACAATTTATTTATAATATACTTTTAGATTCGAGTTGATTATTTTTTACTCCGTCCTATACTATTTACTTCTATTATATTTTTTGATATTTTGAAAATAATTTATATATAATAACCGCCTTGCTGGAACTGGAGATCACTCCAAAATAACGAAAATAAGATATACAATTTATTTATAATATACTTTTAGATTCGAGTTGATTATTTTTTACTTCGTCATATACTATTTACTTCTATTATATTTTTTGATATTTTGAAAATAATTTATATATAATAACCGCCTTGCTGGAACTGGAGATCACTACAAAATAACGAAAATAAGATATACAATTTATTTATAATATACTTTTAGATTCGAGTTGATTATTTTTTACTTCGTCATATACTATTTACTTCTATTATATTTTTTGATATTTTGAAAATAATTTATATATAATAACCGCTTTGCTGGAACTGGAGATCACTCCAAAATAACGAAAATAAGATATACAATTTATTTATAATATACTTTTTGATTCGAGTTGATTATTTTATGCTCCGTCCTATACTATTTACTTCTATTATATTTTTTGATATTTTGAAAATAATTTATATATAATAACCGCCTTGCTGGAACTGGAGATCACTACAAAATAACGAAAATAAGATATACAATTTATTTATAATATACTTTTAGATTCGAGTTGATTATTTTATACTCCGTCCTATACTATTTACTTCTATTATATTTTTTGATATTTTGAAAATAATTTATATATAATAACCGCCTTGCTGGAACTGGAGATCACTACAAAATAACGAAAATAAGATATACAATTTATTTATAATATACTTTTAGATTCGAGTTGATTATTTTTTACTTCGTCATATACTATTTACTTCTATTATATTTTTTGATATTTTGAAAATAATTTATATATAATAACCGCTTTGCTGGAACTGGAGATCACTCCAAAATAACGAAAATAAGATATACAATTTATTTATAATATACTTTTAGATTCGAGTTGATTATTTTATACTCCGTCCTATACTATTTACTTCTATTATATTTTTTGATATTTTGAAAATAATTTATATATAATAACCGCCTTGCTGGAACTGGAGATCACTCCAAAATAACGAAAATAAGATATACAATTTATTTATAATATACTTTTAGATTCGAGTTGATTATTTTTTACTCCGTCCTATACTATTTACTTCTATTATATTTTTTGATATTTTGAAAATAATTTATATATAATAACCGCCTTGCTGGAACTGGAGATCACTCCAAAATAACGAAAATAAGATATACAATTTATTTATAATATACTTTTAGATTCGAGTTGATTATTTTTTACTCCGTCCTATACTATTTACTTTTATTATATTTTTTGATATTTTGAAAATAATTTATATATAATAACCGCCTTGCTGGAACTGGAGATCACTCCAAAATAACGAAAATAAGATATACAATTTATTTATAATATACTTTTTGATTCGAGTTGATTATTTTATACTCCGTCCTATACTATTTACTTCTATTATATTTTTTGATATTTTGAAAATAATTTATATATAATAACCGCCTTGCTGGAACTGGAGATCACTCCAAAATAACGAAAATAAGATATACAATTTATTTATAATAAACTTTTAGATTCGAGTTGATTATTTTTTACTCCGTCCTATACTATTTACTTCTATTATATTTTTTGATATTTTGGAAATAATTTACATATAATAACCGCCTTGCTGGAAATCGAGATCACTCCAAAATAACGAAAATAAGATATACAATTTATTTATAATATACTTTCAGATTCGAGTTGATTATTTTTTACTCCGTCCTATACTATTTACTTCTATTATATTTTTTGATATTTTGAAAATAATTTATATATAATAACCGCCTTGCTGGAACTGGAGATCACTCCAAAATAACGAAAATAAGATATACAATTTATTTATAATATACTTTTAGATTCGAGTTGATTATTATTTACTCCGTCCTATACTATTTACTTCTATTATATTTTTTGATATTTTGGAAATAATTTACATATAATAACCGCCTTGCTGGAAATCGAGATCACTCCAAAATAACGAAAATAAGATATACAATTTATTTATAATATACTTTCAGATTCGAGTTGATTATTTTTTACTCCGTCCTATACTATTTACTTCTATTATATTTTTTGATATTTTGAAAATAATTTATATATAATAACCGCCTTGCTGGAACTGGAGATCACTCCAAAATAACGAAAATAAGATATACAATTTATTTATAATATACTTTTAGATTCGAGTTGATTATTTTTTACTCCGTCCTATACTATTTACTTCTATTATATTTTTTGATATTTTTAAAATAATTTACATATAATTACCGCCTTGCTGGAACTGGAGATCACTCCAAAATAACGAAAATAAGATATACAATTTATTTTATCTTTCCACTAACATAAGATTACATTATTTTCAGATTTAACTATTTAATTTTATTCTAGAATCTGAAAATTATAAATATATGTTTTCTGATAAATTATCTTTCCACTAACATAAGATTACATTATTTTCAGATTTAACTATTTAATTTTATTCTAGAATCTGAAAATTATAAATATATGTTTTCTGATAAATTATCTTTCCAATAACATAAGATTACATTATTTTCGGATTTAACTATTTAATTTTATTCTAGAATCTGAAAATTATAAATATATGTTTTCTGATAAATTATCTTTCCACTAACATAAGATTACATTATTTTCAGATTTAACTATTTAATTTTATTCTAGAACCTGAGAACTATAAATATATGTTTTCTAATAAATTATCTTTCCACTAACATAAGATTACATTATTTTCGGATTTAACTATTTAATTTTATTCTAGAATCTGAAAATTATAAATATATGTTTTCTAATAGATTATCTTTCCACTAACATAAGATTACATTATTTTCGGATTTAACTATTTAATTTTATTCTAGAATCTGAAAATTGTAAATATATGTTTTCTAATAAATTATCTTTCCACTAACATAAGATTACATTATTATCAGATTTAACTAATTGATTTTATTCTAGAACCTGAGAACTATAAATATATGTTTTCTAATAAATTATCTTTCCACTAACATAAGATTACATTATTATCAGATTTAACTAATTGATTTTATTCTAGAACCTGAGAACTATAAATATATGTTTTCTAATAAATTATCTTTCCACTAACATAAGATTACATTATTTTCAGATTTAACTAATTGATTTTATTCTAGAACCTGAGAACTATAAATATATGTTTTCTAATAAATTATCTTTCCACTAACATAAGATTACATTATTTTCGGATTTAACTATTTAATTTTATTCTAGAATCTGAAAATTATAAATATATGTTTTCTAATAAATTATCTTTCCACTAACATAAGATTACATTATTATCAGATTTAACTAATTGATTTTATTCTAGAACCTGAGAACTATAAATATATGTTTTCTAATAAATTATCTTTCCACTAACATAAGATTACATTATTTTCAGATTTAACTAATTGATTTTATTCTAGAACCTGAGAACTATAAATATATGTTTTCTAATAAATTATCTTTCCACTAACATATGATTAAATTATTTTCGGATTTAAATATTTAATTTTATTCTAGAATCTGACTATTTTCCATTCTAGAAAAATTAGAAGATAAATTAATCGGATAATGGCGTATAATGATTAGTACTAACTGAACTTTTTAAATAAAAGAAAATTTTCCATTCTAGAAAAATTAGAAGATAAATAAATCGGATATTATATAATCGGACATTATCTAACAAATATTTTACGGTATCAAAAAGTGTTGCCTCAAAAATTAAATTAAACTACCTCAAAGGAAAACGAAGGAAGATCAACTTGTCCAAATTTAAAAAGACTAGAGATAATGACTTAGCGAGTATAAGTCTTTCCAAGAAGAAGAATTATGCATAAACGCGCTTGCACTACTTAGCGAGTATAAATCTTCCCAAGAATATTAGAGCATTTATGACAGGGCTCCAATCGACAAAATGCCACTCAAAAGTATAAAAATCTTGTAAAAAAAGTACATAGGGAGAAAATTTGCAAATAAAAAGTACACTCAAAATTAAATTTGAAAATATATATTTGATATCAAATCTTTTATATTTCTCTCCTAAATTAATCTTTTCTAATAATTTCTTGTTTCAACTGAGCATTTTGTGCATTTCATTGCATGACATGTCAAAATTTGCTGCCGCATGAAGCAAAGCTCTGACAGTCTTAACCTCAAGCGAGTTTTTTTCGTCCATTGAATGTTTGCCATTGAGAAGCGCCGCAGGCGAAAATTTTTTGAAATTTGGAGCCTAAGAAGCCAGATTTCTTTCATTTTTTGCGCCGCAGGCGAAAATTTGAGAATTTTGGAGGTCCTTAAGCCAGATTTCTTCCATTTTTTGCGCCGCAGGCGAAAATTTTGAGAATTTTGGAGGTCCTTAAGCCAGATTTCTTCGTTTTTTCAAAAATGTTGATAAAAAATTACATACTTTCAAAAAAGTACAACTTCAATTTCGGAAGTACGAAGGGTGATAAAAAAGTACAATACTTTTAAAAAAGTACGAATCGGAGCCCTGATTTATGACATTAAAAACGAAAAAGTTAAGATTTATATTTTTGGTATAAAACAATTCAAAAACCACCGAGTTTATTTTCTAATAATTTCTTATTTTAAACAAAAATTTTTTGAAAATTTTTAAAATTTAAAAAAATTTTCTTATTAAAATTTTTTTCAAAAATTTTTTTTAAATTTGTAAAATTTTACAAATTTTTTTATTAAAAGATTTAAAAACGTGAAAATTAAAAGAAAATATGTATATAATCGGAAAAAGTGAAAATTGGAAAATAAGATATTAAAATTTCAAACAAAAATTTTTAAATAGCAGCATCACTAGAACCTCTTTGGGCAACAGATGTATAATAATTTCTCCTTTGATCAGTCATTCTACGCTTTGAGCGCAGACTTTGACAGAGCAGCACATCACGAACAAACCCCATTCTGTACTGGGGAAGAATGCTGACAGTCAGTAGGGGGTTTAACATCTACGGAAAAAATTTTAAAAATTTTTTCTAATTTGAATATTTTTAAAATTTTAAAAAATTTTCCAAAAAAATTTTCAGAAAAATTTTTGAAAAAAAAATTTATTAAAAAGAGCCTTCTCATCTAATTTCTATCTCCTACCGAATTTAAATAGACCAAATACATCATTAGCCAGTAAAGAAATATGGTCATACACTCGTTTGTACGTTGGGGATTTAATGACCTTCAATTTAAGGGAAAATTAATTTTAAAAATTAATTTTTTTTAAAACCTCTGTAACCCCGCAAAACGATAAGGAAGGAGAGTTAAAGCAGTAAAAACCTTTTAAATTAATTTTTTAAAAATAAATTTAACAAAATTAAAATTACAGTAGTCATAAAAATAAAATAAAATGTTCGCATTTTTGACCGCATAGCTGAATGTGGACGGGGAGAGGAAGGTGAAGTTATAACGGGTGCAGGAGAATTGTTATCTCTGGGTGTTCGTAATAAATGTTCTGAAAAATAAATTAAATGTATTTTTATTTGATACTTTTTTAGAAATTCTGATTTTTGTATTTTTTTAATTTTTGAGTTCTAGCTTATTTTAATTTATTAAAATTCTGATTTAATAAACAATTCTGATTTCTGCATTTTGTTTTTAATCTTTAATAAAATTCTGATTTTAAAAAATTCTGATTTTAGATTTTTATAAAATTCTGATTTTTGTATTTTACTCTAAATAAATACATATAAGAGTAAAATACAAAAATCAGAATTTAATTTAAAAATTAAAAGAAATACAAAAACCAGAATTTTTTATTTAAATTAAAATTCTGATTTCAACTTCTGATATTATTAAATTTCTGAATTAAATAATTCTGGTTTCTGTATTTCATTTAATTTTTGTATAAAATTCTGATTTTTTTAATTTCGATTTTTATATTTTTAAAAATTCTGATTTTTGTATTTTCAGTAAAATTCTGATTTTTTGCATTTTTATTAAAATTCTGATTTGTATTTTTATTAAATTCTGATTTTTCGTATTTTTACTAAAATTCTTATTTTTGTATTTTCAATAAAAATTCTGATTGTTTGTATATTTATTAAAATTCTGATTTTTGTATTTTCAGCGAAAATTCTGATTTTCTGTGTTTTTATTAAAATTCTGATTTTTGTATTTTAATTAAAATACTTCTTTTCGTATTTTCAGTAAAAATTCTATTTTTTTGTAATTTTTATTAAAATTCTGATTTATTAAAAATTCTGATTTTTTTTATTTTCCCTTACCCTGTGATTTAATCTGCCTTCTATGTTCACTCACAACCTTCATAATATAAATCGCAACACTTAAGGAGGTAATTGTTGGGATCACTCCCACACAAATCATAAAAGGTAAATAAATATAGAGACGATTTGGGAATATTGCCAAAGTTACGCTTTAATTTTAAATTATTTTTAATTAAAAAAATATTTCCAAACCAATCCTCGTCTACACAATGGAATGATTCTGTTGACCAAGCGAATAGCACAAAAGCTGTGCTTAAAAACCAACAACCCAAAGCTAAATAAATTGCACGTGCTCGTGTAAAACAAGTGGAATATCTTGAATAATTGAAGGATTTTTAATTTTTTAATTAAAAAAATTTTTCAGACTAAATCAGTTTTCCACCGATAATCACTGCTTGCTTCTAGCTGGATCCCTAGTTGTTTCGTTTTGTCAAAGAGACCGGAGCGAAGGTCTAGGTTAGGTGTAAAGAATAAGGGAGATCCAGCTAGCATTTTAGCGCTTCTAGTCGGAGGTTTATTACTTTTTAAAAGAAAGGGTGGAAATTTTGAAAGAAAGGGTGGAAGGGTGGAAGAATCGGTAGAACACCTGTACATGGTGAACGAAATCACTAACAAAATTGCCAGAAAGTCGTAAGATCAAGCCCTGCCCGGACTAAGCTTTCTCCTCGAGACTTCTTAAACCCTTGCTATTACTGTAAAATCTATTACAGAACGCACCCTCGAGTTGGAAGTTTAAAAAATAGTTAAAAATTACCTCAAAGGAAAACGGAAGAAGATCAACTTGTCCAAATTTAAAAAGACTAGAGATAATGACGAAACTATCAACCCAATCCAACACAAAATATGCATTAAAGCTGATATCTACAGAAAATAATTTTTTAATTAATTTGAAGCATATGTATAGCTATTTAATTCCTAAGGTTGTGCAGTAGGCAGCGTGATGTAATGGATCGGGAATGTGGATCATGGCGTCTTGAGCGCCACACGAAAATATTGGGACAAATCCCTGTAATTGCTACCACATCAATCCGGTCTATGAAGATGCTGGTTCGCTCCCAGCCGCCTAATAACATTTTGCACTAGCTAAAGGAGAGAAACAGCTATAGCCCAGCTCTGCTTTACTTTAATTTTTAGAATAAAAACTTACAAAACGAGGAAATTTGCTTATCAAACCAGCTCTAGGTGCCAATTCTACTGGGTAACACAAAGCTAGAAAGATAAATTTTTAATAATTCCCTCAAACCCCCTCTCCTCCCTCCCAAACCTGTAAGTAAAAAATCAGCCATAGTCATACTCAACAAAAATACATGCAAACACTTATCACTAGTTTTCCTTTTGATATGTTTTAGAGCTGCAAACATTACGTAAAGTTGCAAAAACGATGAAAACAGGGTTAAAACAAACTGGAAATTGTGAAATTTTTAAAGGAAAAATTTTTTTCGAATTTTCTACCATAACAGCATCCATGTTCTCCGTAAAGCTTATTATTGTCTGAGCGGAAATTATCTTAACAAAAAAATATGTTAATGCCGATAATTATTAAAAAAAGTAATCGGATATGTTAAACTCTCGTTATAAGTCCAAAAACTTGCAAAAGCCATCGATTCAATGACTGTTAATTCGGAACCGAACTAAACTGAAGAATCGTTAATCTTCGGTTCGAATCTTCGGACCAGTTCCGGATATACACGGTTTTTAGGAAGTTCATATTATGTCTGTGGATCAGACATATTTATTTTAAGTTTAAAATGACCCTAATCTCTCAATTTAATGAGGTATTCATTTATATTAAAAGAAATTCCTGCGGAAAATTTAATCATTCTCCCTACTTCTCTAAAATGCAAAATTCATTGTAAATAGTAGTACTTGGATATACATATATAAATCATTTTACATCCGAAAGCCATCGGCCTTAGAGTGAATTAGAGCTGTTTTAAATCAGGACTTTCTATTTCGAAGATATTTCGAAATAGCTTTGGAGGGCAAGCACCTCTCCCCCTACTTCTACCTCCAAATTTATTTTTTAAATTTCCAAACAAAAAAGACACGAACATGTGAATTAGTACAACCAGCCTCTTTTTGATCTTCCCCATCATTACTACTTTCTTGATTATCCATGAAATTTAAATTATTTTGTCTACTTGAATTAATTATTAAAGGGAAGGATGACGATGTTTCTGGTATGGAAATGAATGTTTTTGTTGTTGCTATATTAATATTATTTTTAATATTATTTTCTGAATACCCTTCTAGTGTGCTTATTGTCATTAACATTATTAAAAAATAATTTTTTTATATAAAATTATTTTATTTTTAAAATTTATTAGAAATTTAATATTTTTTTTAAATTATTTTTTAAAAAATATGTGTTGTGTGTTGTTGTAATTCATTTAATTTTTTCCTAAAAAATTAAGTGAAAATTGAGAGGATTAAAAATTTTTTAATTTATTTTCAAAAAAATTTTTTTAGGTTAGAATTTATTTTGTTTTCTATGGTATTGTTATAAATTTGTATGGGAGGGTTTTTGGGGGTTTTTATGTCTAGTGGAGAATTTTTTGGGAAGAAAAAAATATTTTTCCCAAAAAAATTATTTTTAAATTATTTTTAAAAATTAAAATATTTTTAAAAACCCATTAATTATTTTTAAATTATTTTTAAAAACCCAAAAAAATTATTTTTAAATTAAAAATAATTTTTTAATCAACAAAACTTTTTTCAATAAATATGTATAAAGCATAAAATAATAGTAATAAAATAAAAATTTATTCAAAAAAAATGGTCGAAATAATTTTCCTCGACTCATTTTAATTTTTGCTCTTAAACAAAATATAAAGAAATTGTTTTGAAATTTAAAAAAAATTCTTTGTATTCGTGGGCGGGTTCGAATTTACGAATTTTGGTACGAGCTTTCAGTCATCGATTAAGTCGCTTAAAAAAATTAAAAATAAAATTTTTTGATAAAATAAAATAAAAAATTTTGTGTTTTTTATTTTGTCAGCTCTAGAAAAATTTTTTAAATAAAATTAAATTTAGAAAAAAAAAAGAATTTATGAGAAAATTCCTAATTTAAATATAGGTACCTATATTTATTTTCTAAATTATATGTTTATTTTCTATTAAATTAAAAAAATGAATAAAAAATTAATAAAATAAATATTATAATTAAAATGGAAAGAGTCTTTTTTAATCTATTTTTAAATTAAAAAAATTTTTTCTAAAATAATTTTTTAAAAATTTGGGGAGGGAGTAAACTTGAGAAATGATACGGCTTCTTCTTTTAACCGTTGAACAAACTTTTAAAAAAATAAAATAAAAAATCTAAAAATGGAAATTAAAAAAAAATTTTTTTTAAGGAAATGAAGGGTAAAGGGTGAATATTTAAAAAAAATTTTTTCGAAAAAATTTCCGGAGGATGTGAATATTTAAAAATTTTTTTGTTTGTTTTAGAGAAGTAAAATAGCTAAAAATAGAATTTAAAAAAAAATTTTTAGAAAAATTCTAGAAAAAAAATTATCTTATTTTTGATCATTAATGGAAACCAAAAATTGAATTAGAAATTAAAAAAAAAATTTTTAATATAGAAAAATATTTTTTTATTTTTACAATAAGACAGCAAAAATAAAAAAATAAAGTATAACAATTTTAAAAAATATTTTTTTATTTTAAAAAATATATATTAAATTACTTATTCAATTTTTAAATTTATTTTTGATCAAAAAAATTTATTTTGTAATTTTACAGCTTAATTTTACAGCTAATATATATATATTTTTTAATTTTACAGCTAATAAGAAAAAAAATATTTTCAAAAAAAAAATTTTTTTATTGATTTTTAAAAAATTTTTTTTTAATTTTATTTTAGAGAAATAATTTCAATTTATAAACAAGATAAAAGAAAGAAACATTTAAAAAGTGTTTATTTAAAATAAAAGTCAAACTGAAACAAAACAAAAAAACTTTGTTTGCAATTGAGATTTAAAAATAAATAAAACGCGCATTGAAATTATAAAGAAATACGAACAAAAAAGAAAAAGGTTAGAGAAAGAAAAATAAACTTGAATTAAAAATAAAATAAACTTATCGGAAGGTTAAAAGGTAGACAAATAAAACTTGAATTAAATAAAATACAAAAGAAGGTTGGAAAAAATACAACTTGAAAATAAACTTGATCGAAAAAGAAACTTGGTCTTAAAACTTAGGGAAAGGCAAGGAATAAAAATAAAACTTGAATTAAAACTTAAATTTAAACTTGAATTTAAATTAACTTAAAAATAAAACTTGTTTTTGAATTAAACTTGAAAATAAACTTGGCAGACATAAAATAAACTTTTTTAATAATTTAAAGAAAAAAAAGGTTAGAGAAATTAAACTTGATTACCTATAAAAAGAAAATTATTTGAAAAATAAACTTGGTTCCCTTATAAAAGAAGCTAAAATAAACTTATTAATTAAATAAATCTAAAATTATTTTTAAAAATTGGGGGAGGAATTGAAAGATTTTTTTTTCCTTTGAAAAAAATTTTTTTTGGGAAACTTCAAGTGTTGGTTAAATTTATTTTTGACTTTTTTTTCTATTCTTAGCAGTTGATTTAAAAGTTGGGGATAAGAGGGAAAAATAAAATAAAAATTCTCTTGATTGGAGGGAATAATGAGAAATGAAAGAAGCAAAAAATCATCAAAATCAGACATTTTTATTTTAAAAATAATTTTTTTAAACGTCATTTGAGGTAGGAAAATTAAAATTTTTTTGAGAAATTAATTTTCTTTTTAAAAAATATTTTTGCTTCAAATAAGCCAAAGATTTGGGGTATGATTTATTAAACTTAAAGATGCCATAACTTTACTTTGTGGCAAAGATAATTTTTTTGTCTTTTTGGTCTTTAATAGAACATTATGTTAGCTATTAGAAATATTAACTTTTTAAAAATAAAATTAATTTTACTTAGAGTTATGAATTTTTAAAGTCTTTTCGGTTCAATTTTTCCCTTATAATTTAACCTAAAATTGTCGGTTCTTGGAAAATCTTTAGATATCCGGAACCGAATCGAAGAACCGAATCGAAAGAAATCATCGGTTCTTCGGTTCGGTTTGATCCAGAATCCTAATACAACCCTTATTTTACCCATCTTAAAGGCACATAACTTAATTCGAGGTGAACCTAAAATTCTGATTTTTTGAGCTCTAAAAGTGAAGAGTATTAGCTATTAGAAAATGTAAAGTTTATCAGATAAAAATTTTTCTGCTTGAAGTTATGAATTTTTAAAGGTTTTTTGGTTCTAGTTTTCCCCTATAATTTAGGTTCCGTGACTTTTGCGCCGAGAACATTTGCGCCGCGACTTTTGCGCCGGGCGATGTTTGCGCCGCGACTTTTGCGCCGGACGACTTTTGCGCCGCCACTATCATTAATAATTATGAAAAACTACAGTCGGACCTCACTATAGAAGATGTAGGATAGTTGGAGATCTTCGGATATCATGATCCGGATCCGATATCCGACCTAGAATTTTCGGCTGTCCGGCCTTTTTCAGATCCGGATATCTGGACCCGACAACCCTACACTATAGTGCACCCTCTTCAGGCAGAAAATCATGTCTGAATAGGGGTAGCAGACCACATATCCTGATTTGACCCCTCTAGGGTGTCAGTTTATTTTTCAACCTTCCTCTAGGGGGTCGGTTTATTAGAGGGGGCTATTGTACTTCCCGAAATATTGTACTTCCTGAAATTCCTTCAGCTCCTGAATACCATTTTTTAAGGAGTACACTATAATTAGGTCCGACTGTAGATATTTTTTTTAATTATGGCGGCGCAAATGTCGCGGCGCATAAGTCGCCCGGCGCAAAAGTCGCGGCGCACAAGTCGCCCGGCGCATAAGTCGCGACGCAAAAGTCGCGGCGCAAAAGTCGCCCGGCGCATAAGTCGCGGCGCAAAAATCGCGGCGCAAATGTTCTCGGCGCAAAAGTCGTGATACCATAATTTATACTTACTGGAGGCTCGTGATTTTATTCGAGGTGGACTTAAAATTTTGATTTTTTGGGCTCTAAAAGTGACGAGTATTGGCTATCAGAAAATGTAAAGAATGTTAAATAAAATTAATTTTACTTGGAGTTATGAATTTTTAAAGTCCTTTACTTCTAGTTTTTCCCTTATAATTAACCCTTCTTGGAGGCTCGTGATTTTACTTAAGGTAGACCTGAAATTCTGATTTTTTGGGCTCTAAAAGAGAAGAGTATTAGCTATTAGAAACTGTAAAGAATGTCAAATAAAAATTTTTCTACTTGGAGTTATGAATTTTTAAAGTTTTTTGGTTCAACCTTTTTTTAGTGTTTTTTCTCCTTTAAAAAAAAGAACAAGAATTTCTCTAAAAATAAAATTTTTTTCATTTCCGTTTTAATTTTTTAAACGATCAATTTACTGAAATATGATTACCAAATAATATTTTTAAGCTGATTTTTAGACAACTGTTG